CCGTCTTGGGGCCCTCTTGGATGCTTGGGGGCCTCTTGGGCCGACTTGGAGCGTCGGAAAGCCGAAAAGGCGAGGACGCCAAAATCCTTTAAACACCTAAGGCGAATCAATGATTTTTGCCTCTTGGGTCTGCTCTCTTGGGAGGCCTCGTGGAGGCCTCTTCGGGCGCCTTTGAGACCTCTTGGGCCGTCTGGGAGCCATCTTGGGTGTCTTGGGGCGATCTCTCGGCGTCTCGGGGCCTTCTTGGGCCGTCTTGGAGGCCTCCTGGAGCTCTCCGTGCTCGTCCTGGGTGGGGCCCTCCTGCTCCCGAGAAGTCATGCGACAAGCCGCGGGAGAGCCCAGGGGGCACGCGACAGGCACCAGGGGGCACGCGACAGGCCCCGGTGCATTGGAGAGTCTGGGGCCTGGGCCCCTGGAAGGCTCCTCGGCAGCGGGGGCCGAGGCTCAGAGGATGAGGCACAGGACCTGAGGACACGCCCAGGACCTGAGGCTGGACTGCCGGCGGCATGCCGCAGCCAGCCTGACACTTCCGGGTTCATTAATTAACTAATTTGGACTGCGCGCCACTGGCGCGCCGGCAGAGGCAAGGCCACCAGCACGCCTACCTCTTTTCACCCTTTACCTGAGGGCGCGCCCACTCCGCGCCCAGGGGCACGGTGGCGGATGTGCATGTGTACAGTGAGCGGCTCGAATAAGGAACGCTTACTTTTCAAAAAGGGCTCGGTCGTTCCTTAGGCTTGCATTCGTTACTTACAGCTCCTTATGCGCTATGTGTGATGTATCGTTCCTGATGCGTTATTCCTTGGGATAAAAAAGGGGCTTCGTTCCTCATTGATCGTTCCTTAGGTCAGACCGATGACTGTATGTGTATGGGCACCGTGCCCAGAGGCAGGGTGGCGGACGGTGCGGACGGGCATCTACATGCATGTGCACGTGTGCACGCCACCGCAGCCCCCTGCCGTTGGGAGCGCCCATGTCGTGAGGTGCCGAGCGGCAGGGCGGCCGCGCCAGTGGACTGCACGGCCTTCCAGCCGCTGGCCCCCTGGGGCCGTTTGCTGCTGCCCGTGGGTCTCTCTTCGAGCCTTCCTTGCCTGCTGGTGGGACTCCTGGGGCCTTCATGTACCGTCGTAGGGCACTCTTGGGCAGCATGGCGCCTTCGGAGGCCGTCTGGGAGGCTCATCTGGGCCGTCTCGGGGCCGTTTGTAGAGCAGTCCTGAGGCTCTCTTGGGGGTGCCCTCCTTGGGCTGCCTCCAGGCTCTCTTGGGAGCCTTCGGGGCCGTCGTGGGCCTCTTGGGCCGTTGAGGGCGCTCTGGCTGCTGAAAAAGGCGAGATTCCGAAAGTGACTGAAGCAACAGAAAAGGGCGTCAAGTGGTTGTTTTTCTAATTCATTGTTTTTCCGATCGGCGCGGGCCCTCGCACCCCTCCTCCCCCCCATGGGTACACTTGGCTGTTTTTGTGTCTGTTTCGAGCAGATGGAGTCTCCCCCATAGGACGCACTGCTGCAAACAGTCGCACCAAGCACAGGTCCAGAGCCAGACCCCCGCCCGACCCACCCCCTTCCGCCAGAGGTCGAAACGCCGAATAAGAAAACGTTCGCCAGTGGTTATTTCCGCTTGAGGCCCAACCGGGGGACCTCTAGGAAACCCTTCGGGGTATCTTGGGGCCCCCCTGAGCCGTCCTGATGACATATGCTTCTGGATACTACCTTGAAGTCGGGCCTGTTCCTCTACAGAAGGAGAATTCAAACATAGTCAAAAACAATTTCAGGGGACGATTTTTATATTCTGTCTATTTTTGAATATTTTTGGTTTGATTCTTCGTCGGAAATCCGCCTGTAGGGGGAGATGCCCGACCTACGACTACCTGTGGGCCACGTTGGACTTGACGGCGGCATTGGGCTCTTCTTGGAGCCATATCGTGGACGGGACACGCCGTTGGAGTCCACTCTTTGGCGCCCGGGCGGTCGGACGGGCCGAGAGAGCGCCAGCGGGAACACTCTGGAATAACACGAACGAGTTTGTTTGAATTCCGCCAGTGGCGGAATTCGGGTTGACCCAAAAAGGGTCCAGCGACAAGGGGGTGGTGCAATAGATTTGGTGCAATAGATTCGTTCGGTTGCAATACATTTAGGGCGTGGCGCAAATGTGTTGCTGGATTTTCGCGTGCAATACATCACTTGCAATACAATGCAAAGCAAATCTCCGGCGCAGTACATGTGTAGTTTGCCCCAAATCTATTGCACCACCCCCTTTCAGCTGGACCCACCTTTGGGTCACCCTTGGCCACGCCAGCCACACGCCTGTGGCAATCTCTCGGGCGGCAAGCGAGGGGGGAAGTGAGAAGGAGAAGGCCTTCTCGGAAGGCGGCGGGACCTCTCAGAAGCCCTCGCGCCTTCTGAGGGTTTGTTGGGGTCTTCGGGGAAGGCCTAGAATACTTCTCAGAAGTCCGGGGGACTTTGAGCCTTCTGAGAAGGCCCGCCCCTTCTCACTTCCCCCCCCCGGGCGCGCCGCCTAAGAGCGAGCTTGTTTTCATTCCGCCACGCCGGCGACACGCCTGTGACAATCTTGGGGGCTGCGGATGACGGAACGCGCGGGTAGCGTTCGATCCGTGAGTCGCACGAAATAGGAGGAGGAGGAGGAGGAGGAGGAGGAGGAGCAGGAGCAGGAGGAGGAGGCGGCTGACAGGCGGAGAGCCCCAGAGACCTCATAGCCGAATCGGCGATTTCGCCGAGCACATCTTCAGACATAGTAAAAAAGCAATCGGTGGACGATTTGTTTAAGTTTTTTTGATTGTTTTTGAGCATTCTCGGAGCATGTTTCATTTTCCGTCCAAAATCCGCCTGTAGGGGGACATGCCCGACCTAATCATAGCCGAATCGGCGAGTTCGCCGAGGACATCCTCGGACAAATGAGATGCCTTGGGCTCGCTCTTAGAAAACCTCAAGACGGCCCAACATAGCCCAACAGAACTGCTCCATCACGCCCTGCTCCCACCCAGGCATTTACGATTTCTCTAGGGACGTTCTCACACATGAGATGTTGTCGACATCAGTCATGCCCAAACTGGCGATTTCGCATGTGACATGCTCACACACATGAGATGATGTCGACGTCGCCGTGGTCTCGGTCTTGCCCAAGATGGCGATTTCGCCTGGGACGTCCTCACACACATGAGATGTTGTCGCGATCGTTCTTGCCCAACAATGCGATGCCGCTTGGAACCTCACAAACATGAGATGCCCTTGACATCATCGTGGCCTCGGTCTTGCCCAGATGGCGATTTCGCTAGCAACATCATCAACACATCAGATGTTGTCGACATCGTCTTGGTTTCGCTCTTGCCCGACATGGTGTGATTTTGTGAGAGACATCCTCATAAGGATGAGATGTTGTCGACGTCGTCTTGGTGTCGTTCCAAGACGGCCCACGAGGCTCAAACCGGACTCCAAGACTGCCCAAGAGGGCCCCACGACTCTCCAAGGATCCGATGAGGGCGCGAGGAAGAGAGGACGGAAGAGGAGGAAGGACGGGCAACTCCTCCTCCTCCTCCTCCTCCTCCTCCTCCTCTTCCTCCTCCTCTCCTCCTCCTCCCCTCCCCTCCCCCTCCCCCTCCCCCTCCCCCTCCCCTCCTCCCCCTTCTCCTCCTCCCTCTGCTGAGCAGGGTCTGGGGTCCACCGTGCGGCCCCCCCGACCAGATCCGAAGTCGCAGGTCTCGGGCGTCGTAGTCATAGATCCCGCTCCGTCACAAGATAAGCTGCGGCGTTCTCCGTCCCCGTGAACAAGCAGGTCGAGTGGCTTTCGACCCATCCCGCGGCTTCTTCTGGATCGCGGGACAGGGGCCTCTCGGAGGCCTCTGGGAGTCTCTTGGGAGGCCTGACTGTTGCCTCCTGTGGGGCACACTGGAGTTCCGTTCGGGCCGTGTGGGGGCTTCTGGGGGGCCACTGGGGGCCTTGGCGGCCTCTTGGGCACCAGCTGGCGGTCTGTTTCCCAGAGCGCGGAAGCGACATGAAGCGCTTGGGAAGTCTCGCAATGGGGGGTCTGATGGACTCGCTCCGCTTCTACTTTCGCACCGTATCTCGATTTCATGGTTGGGGATATTGCGATGCCGCGTAGAGTGGTTTTCCTGCGTGTGTGACACGATGTCGGCACGGACAGTTTCATAACAAATCGGGGAGGCATGACGTACATGAGCGTGTGCGCAATAATCTGAGCGCATTGAGAAGTCGCGGTAGCTCGGGGGAGGGTAGGACCAAGGAGGTGGGTGGCGATTCGGGGTTTGTCCGCCGCCTTCATTTGAGGACCTAGCCTGGGACCGCCCCTCCCGTGTAGACATTGTGTTATACACATACATATCACGGAGGACCAGGTCTGGGGGCCGGGGGCCGGGACCCCGACCGCAAATGTGGGGCCCGGCGCGCCGGCCCGCCTGGGAGGCCTAAAATCGCCCCGGGGGGCCCTCAGGCAGCAATCCCGGCGGCCCCAGACGGTCGCGAGACGCCCCCAAGAAGCCGTCCAGGGGTCTCTGGCGACGCACGATACGTTTTAAGCTGCCCCAGAGGCCCCCAAGACGCCCCGAGAGGCATTTAAGATGCCGCCCAAGAGCGCCCCGAGAGGGAATCGTTGATTTTCATTGTGTTTTTCAGATATTTGTGTGCTTTCTCGATGTTTCGTGTATCCGGCGCTAAAGCACCGCCTAAGAGGCTCCCCAAACCGCTCCAAGACGGCCCAAGAGACCCCCGAGAGGGCCCCAAGACGGCCCAAGAGAGCCCCGAGATGGCCCCAGAGCCGCCCAAGACGGCGCAAGAGGGTCCCAAGAAGGCCCCAAGAGGGGCCCAAGAGAGGGAACGCGAACTGAAAAATCAAGCTCTCCGCCCCAAGATGCCCTCAAGAGGCCCCAAGAGGCCCCCAGTAATTAAGCCCCCAAGAGGCCCCACGAGGCCCCCAAGCGGACGCACGATGCGTTTTAAACTACCCCGGAGGCCCCAAGATGCCCGATGCCGCCCAAGAGCGCCCCGAGAGGGCAAAATCGTTGATTTTCGTGTTTGTTTCCCCCACATGTTTCGTGGGGTTCTGGATTTCTTCTCTGCTGCGTCGCACCCGCGTCTTCCACCCGCCTCCCTCTCCTTCTCCCTCTCCACACCGCAGGGGGGGCGCAGGGGGTGGGGTCGCTGTGCGCGCCAGGGCCCCAGGGCGCAGCCGGCGTGGCTTTTTGTTCGACACCAGAGGGGGCGCGCAGCGGGTGGTCCCTGAGCGCGGCGTCTACGCGGGCCATGGCACAGGGCACGGCAGGTGTGGCTTTTTCTCGACACCAGAGGGGGCGCGCAGCGGGTGGTCCTTGAGCGCGGCGTCTATGCGGGCCATGCCGCAGGGCACGGCAGGCGTGGCACTTTCTCGACACCAGAGTGGGTGCGCAGGGGGTGGTCCCTGAGCGTGGCGTCTATGCCGGCCATGGCGCAGGGCACGGCAGTTTTCTCGACGCCAGAGGGGGCGCGCAGCGGGTGGTCTTTGAGCGCGGCGCCTATGCGGGCCATGGCGCAGCGCACAGCAGGCGTGGCATTTTCTCGACACAAGAGGGGGCGCGCAGCGGGTGGTCCCTGAGCGCGGCGTCTGTACGGGCCATGCCGCAGGGCACGGCAGGCGTGGTATTTTTTGACACCAGAGTGGGTGCGCAGGGGGTGGTCCCTGAACGTGGCGTCTATGCTGGCCATGGCGCAGGGCACGGCAGCTTTCTCGACGCCAAAGGGGGTGCGCAGGCGGTGGTCCTTGAGCGCGGCGCCTATGCGGGCCATTGCGCAGGGCACGGCAGGCGTGGCACTCTCTCGACACCAGAGGGGGCGCGCAGCGGGTGGTCCCTGAGCGCGGCGTCTATGCGGGCCGTGGCACATGGCACGGCAGGCGTGGCACTTTCTCGACACCAGAGTGGGTGCGCAGGGGGTGGTCCCTGAGCGTGGCGTCTATGCCGGCCATGGCGCAGGGCACGGCAGGCGTGGCACTCTCTCGACGCCAGAGGGGGCGCGCAGCGGGTGGTCCTTGAGCGCGGCGCCTATGCGGGCCATGGCGCAGGACACGGCAGGCGTGGCACTCTCTCGACACCAGAGGGGAGGGGGCGCGCAGCGGGTGGTCCTTGAGCGCGGCGTCTATGCGGGCCGTGGCGCAAGGCACGGCAGGCGTGGCACTATTTCGACACCATAGGGGACGCGCAGTGGGTTGTCCCCGAGTTCGCTCAGTCAGCAAACACATGAGATTTAAATTAAGTATGTGGGGTTCCTCGGTAGCGTAATTTCAATGTGTTTGCATTCTCGCTGTTTCGTGTTTCCGGCGCTCAAGCACCGCCCAAGAGGCTCCCAAAACCGTTCCCAGACGGCCCAAGAGACTCCCAGGAGGGCCCCAAGACGGCCCAAGGGAGCCCTGAGATGGCCCCAGAGCCGCCCAAGTCGGCGCAAGAGGGTCCCAAGAAGGCCCCAAGCGGGTCCCAAGAGAGGGAACGCGAACAGAAAAATCAAGCTCTCCGCCCCAAGATGCCCCCAAGAGGCCCCAAGAGGCCCCCAGAAGCCCCTCAGAGGCCCCACGAGGCCCCCAAGAGGTCGCACGGTGCGTTTTAAACTGCCCCGGAGGCCCCTAAGACCCCGCAAGAGGCTTGAAGATGCCTCCCAAGAGCGCCCCGAGAGGGCAAAATCGCTGATCTGCATTTACTTTTAAGATATGTTTTGCATTTTCGCTGTTTCGTGTTTCTGGCGCCAAGGCACTGCCCAACAGGCTCCCCCAACCGCTCCCAGACGGCCCAAGAGGGTCCCAAGACGGCCCAAGAGACCCCCGAGATGGCCCCAGAGCCGCCCAATGACGGCGCAAGAGGGTCCCAAGAAGGCCCCAAGCGGGTCCCAAGAGAGGGAACGCGAACTGAAAAATCAAGCTCTCCGCCCCAAGATGCCCTCAAGAGGCCCCAAGAGGCCCCCGGGAAGTCTCCGAGAGGCTCCCAAGAGGCCCCAAGAGGCCCCCAAGAGGGCCCCAAGACGGCCCAAGAGAGCCGAGACGGCCCCAGAGCCGCCCAAGACTGCGCAAGAGGGTCCCAAGAAGGCACCAAGAGGGGCCCAAGAGAGGGAACGCGAACAGAAAAATCAAGCTCTCCGCCCCAAGACGCCCCCAAGAGGCCTCCGGGAAGCCCCAAGAGGTCCCCAAGAGGCCCCAAGAGCCCAAGAGGCCCCAAAGAAGTCCAAAAGAGGCTCCAAGAGGCCCCAAGACGGCACCCAAAAGGCTTCGAAACTCTTTCTTAGAGGCCCCCGAAGACATGCCAAGAAGGTCCCATGACGACTTCAAGAAGCAGTCCAGGATGCTCCGAGGAGGCCCCAAGAGGCCCCCAAAAGAGCCCAAGAGGCCCCCAAGCGGCCTCGAGCAGCATCCAGAAGGCCGGAAAGAGGCCCCCAAGAGCTCAGCGGTCCAGGCGGGGGCCGAACGAACATTTCCAGCCCTGTGCTCCCGGAAGCCCAACAGGAAGCCCTAAGAGTTCGATCATCCAGCCTAGCTAGAACTTGAGCGCGCGCGAAGCGCGCGCGATGGTTCTAGTACACATATACATCTACATATTTTCACACACACACATATATATATATATATATATAGTCAGCCCCTCCCCCTTGGTCCTCCTCCTGATTGGTTCTCCTCCATCCCTTGTCGATCATCCACTCTGGTCCTCCTTCGGCATTCCTTTTTGACCCTTCTGGCCCTCCCTCCGCAGGCTTCGTGCCGACCACGAACAAGGGTGGCGGCGGCTTCGGCGGCGGAGGCTTCGGTGGCAAGGGCAAGGGCTACGGTGGCGGAGGGGGCGGACACAAGCCACTGTGGCAAGGGATGACCCTCGACAGAAAGGCGGGGCGCCGCGGGGGGGAGACCTACTGCTAGGAACGACATGGTAGTGCTATGTGTGTGCGCGTGTGCGTGTGCGTGTGTGCGTGTGTGCGTGTGTGCGTGTGCAGTCCTATACTGTTGTTGCCCAGCCCGGCCTCCTTTTCAAGACTTGTGTGTGTTTGGGTTCACGGTTCCGGTTGAGTTTTTCCCAGAAAGGGCGCAGGCCCAGGGTTCTCTTTTAGTATGTAAACATGTCCCCGGTGCCCAACTTGAAGGAGGCCGGCGGATTCTTTCCCTGATAAATATCGAGGTCGAAGGAGGCCGGCGGATTAAAATTTGAGGATGTCTCAGGCGAAACGCTTGTTTTTGAAATCCCGATCGATAAATCACAGGGTGCGGGACACCTCAGCACGACCACACCCCCAGCATGACCACACCCCAGCACGACCACGCCCAGCACGACCACGCCCCAGCACGACCACACCCCAGCACGACCACACCCCAGCACGACCACACCCCAGCACGACCACACCCCAGCACGACACACCCCAGCACGACCCCACCCCAGCAAGACCACACCCCAGCACGACCGATCGATAAATCACTGGTGCGGACCACCCCAGCACGACCACACCCCAGCACGACCCCACCCCAGCACGACCCCACCCCAGCACGACCACGCCAGCAGCACGACCACACCCCAGCACGACCACACCACCAGCACGACCCCACCCCACACGACCCCACCCTAGCACGACCACACCCCAACACCCCAGCACGACCACACCCCAGCACGACCACACCCCAGCACGACCCCACCCAAGCACGACCCCACCCCAGCACGACCACACCCCAGCACGACCACACCCCAGCAGACCCGACCCCAGCACGACCCACACCCCAGCAAGACCACACCCCAGCACGACCACACCCCAGCACGACCTCACCACAGCACGACCACACCCCAGCACGACCACGCCCCAGCACGACCACGCCCCAGCACGACCACGCCCCAGCACGACCACCCCCCAGCACGACCACCCCCCCAGCACGACCACCCCCCAGCACGACCACCCCCCTAGCACGACCACACCCCAGCACGACCACTCCCCAGCACGACCACACCGCCTTGGTTGAGTGGTTGCCTGTCGTCGTGGAATGTTTCGTGGGGTGTCTCGTGGAATGTTTCGCGGGGTGTGTCTCCGTGGAATGTTTCGTGAGGTGTCTCGTGGGATGTTTCGTGAAGTGTCTCGTGGGATGTTTCGTGAGGTGTTGCCCAGTTGGGTATCGTGAAAACGTGTCCATGCTCCACATGTCTATATCCCTTTCCGGGTTCGTGGGTCCATCATGTTTTGTGCGTGTTGGTGATTTGGTTGCGGTTGAGCAGGCAATTGCGGTGGATTGTTGCGCGCGTGCATTACGTGGGTGAAGATATGTGTGTGTGCGTATGTGAGTACGCGAAGTTGTGTGCATGGTGTCTTATTGATGTGTGTGTGTGTGTGCATGTGGTCATGTGGTTGTGTGTGTGTGCGTGCGTGTGTGTTGCACCGCTTACTTGGTGGTTGCATTCATCCCCGCGTCGGAGGAACACGTGTGTGTGTGGTTGTTTGTGTGTTTGTATGTGTGTTCGTGTGCTTGTGTGTGCGTGTGCGTGTGTATATGTGTGTGTGTGTGTGTGGTTGTGTTGTCATCGTGTGCGTTTGTGCGTGTGTGTGTGTGTGTGTCTTCTGTTTCTTCCTCAATTGGATGCGGCACAGTTCAGCACTGCAGCACGATCAGGCAGGCGGCTCGGCCGAACGTTCCGCGGGAGAAAACAGGCTGTGAGTGCGCAGACGTGTGTGCGGATGTCCGCGTGGGTGTATGCGTGTGTGCGCGTGTGATCGTTTGCTCGCTTCTGCACGCCTCCTGAAAGCAACCCCACTGCGACGCTTAGCGCGTTGGGCAACTCTTCAATGCAATTCGATTTCAATGCAATTCAATTTCCCTGCCCCTGGGATCCGTTTCTTTGCGCTTGACGGCGCTTGATAAGGAGGACGTGTGCGTGTGTCCGTGCGTGAGCGAAAATGCGTGGTATCCGTGTATGCTTGTGTGCGTGTGTGCGCATGTACGAATGAGCGTGTGTGCGTGCGCTTGTGAGCTGAAGCGCGTTCGTGCATGAGAGAGGGGGGGCATGTGCTCGTGGGCGTGCGCGTGTGCTCGGGCGTGATAGAGAACGGGAGAGCAAGAGAGAGAGGGTTTGTGTGTGCGCGCAAATATTGCTGACTAATGTTTGCGCGCATTCGCGTATGCGTGCATTGTTGTGTGAGTATTCGCGCGTGCGAGCGTGTGCTACACGGGGCCCTGCGTGACTGTCCGATTTCGATGTTCGACTTCAGGCAGCGCGAGCGCCAGACACGCACTCCTCGGACAGCGAGCATGAGTGCGGGACTATGCCGATGTGTCTCTCGTGCGCCCCCGTCGGCCTGTGCCGGGCTGTGTGCGTCGCCTTGTTTTTCACGCCAGCGTTTTGCGGCCTCTGATGGCCTTGTCTCTGTCCGCCCGTTCAAGCCGTCTTCGCCCTTCTCTTCAGCTTGCCCTCCCCCCTCTTCCTCCTCCTTCTCCTCCTCCTGCTCCTCCTCCTCCTCCCTCCTCCCTCCTCCTCCTCCTCCTCCTCCTCCCTCCTCCTCCTCCTCCTCCTCCTCCTCCTCCTCATCCTCCTCCTCCTCCTCTTCTCCTCCTCCTCCTCCTCCGTCCTCTCTCCCCCATCCTCCTCCTCTTCCTTCCGGGGGAGCTCCTCCTCCTCCCCTCCCTAGGAGGAAAGGAGGGCTAGCCTCCGTCCTCCCCCCTCCCTCCTCTCCTCCTCCTCCCCTCCTCCTCCTCCTACCCTCCTCCTCCCCTCCTCCTCCTCCTCCTCCTCCCCCTCCTCCCTCCTCCTCCTCCTCCTCCTTCCTCCTCCTCCTCCTCCTCCTCCTCCTCCTCCTCTCCTCCTCCTCCCTACCTCTCCTCCTCCTCCCCACCGCCTCCCTCCCTCCTCCTCCTAGCCTCCTCCCCACCCCCTCCCCTCCTTCCTCCACCTCCTCCTCCTCCTCCTCCTCCTCCTCCTCCTTACCCCTCCTCGCTCCTCCTCCCCTCCCCTCCTCCTCAATCCTCCTCCTCCTCCTCCTCCCTCCTCCTCCTCCTTCCTCCTCCCTCCTCCTCCTCCTCCTCCTCCTCCTCCTCTCCTCACCTGACTACTCCTCCTCCTCTCCTCTCCTCCTCCTCCTCTCCTCCTCCCTCCTCCTCTCCTCCTCCTCCGCCTCCTCCTCCTCCTCTTCCCGTCCTCCTCCTCCTCCTCCCTCCTCCTCCTCCTACCTCCTCCTCCTCCCCCTCCTCCTCCTCCTCCTCCTCTCTCCTTGCATCGTTGGGCTCTGGCGATCGTGAAGATCGCGCGCCAGGAGTCTCACCGTCGCCGCTGCAGGGCTCTCGCCAGGCTGGCGCGCCTGTTTTGATCCTCGCTCCAGGGGCCGCGTCTTCGGTCGCCTTTCCTGGGCCGGGGGTGGCGTCGCCTGCAGTTCCTCTTCCTCTGTCCTGCCGCCGGCCGACGCGCCGCCGTGGTCCCGCTCGGGCGGTGTTCCGTCGCTGCAGGTCTTCGCCAGGCGGCCCTCCCGCCTCGGGACCTTCCTGCGCCCGCCCGCACGGTTGGCCTCGCCGCCTTGTCTTCACAGGCTCGCACGCCGCCCTAGTCGCGTCGCAGCGTGGCACCCCGCCCCTGTGTTTAAGCAGTGGCGAAGCGTCCCGGCTCGCCTACAGGCCCGCCAGAAAGAATGCTCTAAGAATTTGTTGTGGTTTACGCGACATGTTCTTAGAACATTTCCGGTTGATATTGCCTTGTTTTAGTACGTCGGGTTTCTGCTCTAAGAATATTATTTTCGTTATTTGAGCTTTTTTGGTTCTAAGAAGATTTCGTGGTAGGCCGGTAGGAATGCCGGGACGGTCGGCCCCTGCTCAATGTGGGGCCTCCCTCTGCTCGGGTATGGCCAGGACCCTGGGTAAGGGGACCCAGTTAGTGGTAGGGCCCTGGGGCAATTGGCCAGATTAACTAAACCAGGTTTGCCGTAACTGGTGTTTTTCGGGTGACGGCAGTTCCCGTTAGTGGAAATGGGACGGGGGGGCACCCCCGGTACAAATCACTAAACCAGGTTCCACTAAACCCAGTCCTGCCAACGCCCGATCTGCACCCGCCGCTGGCGCACCAACCGCCTGCCGCTGCACGCCTTCCGCGACTTTGCCCACGCGTCCCCACAACGGCAATGCGTCTCCTCCCAGCGATCTCCAAGTCGCCCCCTGTACTCAACCGCTTCTGAGGCCCCCTCCTCGGGGTCACTTTGACCGCTGGGGCTGGCCCCGACGCAGGTAGGCCGTCCAATTTTTTCGCAGCCCGTCTCAGCCGCTCGCGACTGAGGTGCCACATCGCCTGCGGAGGCAGGTTTTGGTACTGTGCGTGCGCGTGTGTCAGCGTGTTCCAATTTGCGAACGGGATTTGAGCGTGTCCCGCCTGTTCCGTGGGCTGCAGCCTTTGGCACTTCTGAGTATATTTCTGTATAGATTTTGATATATGTACACATATAGATGCGTGATTATATATACGTATGTGTGCGTGTGTGTGTGTGTGCGTGTGTGTGTGTGTTTGTGCGTGCGTGC